TACACTGAACAATCTAAATGCAAAATAATATAAAATAATATAAAATAATATAAAATAATATAAAATAATATAAAATAATATAAAATAATATAAAATAATATAAAATAATATAAAATNTAATATAAAATAATATAAAATAATATAAAATAATATAAAATAATATAAAATAATATAAAATAATATAAAATAATATAAAATAATATAAAATAATAAACTGTTTAATGTTTCAAAAGCTATTCAAAATTAAACACCTTTATACTTAACTTCTAATGAATGGGTTATACCAGGAGGAGCTTGGACGTAATATATAAATTATGACTTTTTCAGAAGTTGAGCGGTTGCTACTACAGTTTCATGTTCCTCTTTCTAAAGTCCTTGAACAAGGCCTTTACTTAATAAGTAAATAAAATTAATCTGGAGTGCCTAGATAAAGTTGCTTAGGCTACATTTTGTTTGAAGTGTCAGAACATTTCCAGAGAGAAAAACCTCAGATCCCAAAAAATGCGTAATTTTTCCTAAGAGGGTCCAGTTGTTAGATACCCTAGTCCACCAAGATTGTCYTGGGTGCGAGAGAAGCCAGATACTTTGAGGAACAACACAGGCTTCGGCAAGAAACTCTGTGCTTACTATGAACATCTATTCATTTTGAACCGTATTTTATCTTCATCAGTWATACAAATATATTAGTGCAGCTTGATCGTGAGTAACTATCATTATCCCTTTCCTGCTTATTCAGCCATTCATTTTAGGGTCTGTATTGTTTTCTTTTCCTCAGAGGGCAGTCAAAGCAAAGAGAAGAGAGGATGTGAACATCCACCTGAGTGAGCCACGAGGACTATTAAGATTTTTCGGCGAGTCGCAGCTCACACACACAAGCTGAAGAACTCCGCGTGCAAGAGCCAAGGTCAAGAGCTGCTTCTTGGAGACTGCCAATTTGCTTCCAACTTCTTGTATCACCTGTTTATCATTCCCTGACCTGCTACAGGTGCCGTTTCAGGCACGGAGCCCTGCGGTGTTTTGCCAGAACCGCCGCTTGAACAAGGTGCCCCTTGGCAGGCAGCAGCAGCAGCTCTGGGACCATTAGCATTTCTGGGACCATTAGCATTTCTTTTGTCCCGCTAACATCTGCTTTGAGGAGAACTGCACGTCCCAGTCTCCAAAACCCAAGCAATTAGTCGCCAGTCACTGCTACTAAGGAGTGAGGAAGCTCCTGCAAGTGCTGGGCAGTTGGGAGCCTTTGGCAGAAGTATCAAACATAAATGGTTTGAGGTCTGATACATAGGTAGAAAAGTGGCCAGTAAAAAGAAAAGGAGAGCCAAGAAGCCCCTTTTGGAGTGTTTTACTTTGAGGAGGAAATGCGCTGGGGTAAACTCACTAGTAACAGATAAAACTTTATTTTAATAAAATTCACGGACTAGCACAAACTAGTTGGCAAAAAAGTCACGCCCAAAGTGTACTTTTGAGATCGAATCTTAATTTTAGTACAAAAAGGAAAGTATTAAAAAAACCCACTATTTCTAAATTTAAAGAAGAGATCAGTTCTTTTTACTTTTTTCTTCTCTAAAGCAAGAGCTCCCAACATATTTTTCTGAATTACCAGCAGGGAAATCTAAAGAGACAGGATACACAGGAAAAGATACTCTGCATTTTTGGACTCTTTCTGGTTTTCTTTGGATAGTTACTGCGGAACTACTAAGTTTTCACTTGAAACCTATTTATATCCCTTTTTTGGGGGAGGTCAGGGAAGGGGCTAAGCACAGTCCTGATGTGCAGGAAGATGGAATGTGCACCRTCTCCCTAGCCTGCTATTTTGTTCAAATTTCTCTTCAGCGCCTAGATTGAGCATTTTAGTGTTGCTGCAATTGTGTTTTTCCTCTTAATACAAAGAGAAGTGAGAACCCACTAGTGTGACCTCACTGCAAAGTGGCAGATCCCATCCAGGGCTCCTTGCTAAGGACGGGCTGCTGTTTTGCGTACTAGTGCACTTAAGATGCATATAACTGCTTTTAAAAAGGCACTAGCCACAGACCTATGGTATATGCATCCTGATGCGGATTTTAATTCCTCACTCAATGTAGTTGCACAAATTAACTATAAAAACAAGCACATTAACGTAAATAGTAATTAAAATGTGTATCATTGTTAAAGAATAGGACAGGTTATCAACAGCAGCTGGTTAATAAATAACAGAAAAGTTATGTAACTCAAAAAAATTTTGCAGTTTGTTTCAGTTAAATAAACACCCAACCTCAGAAGTGCAGTAGTGTTGAAAAACTAGAAGTCTTGCTTCTGTCTCCAATGGTCACTAATTCACGATCTGCACTTGTGTACACACACACGTACACATCCCCCAATCCAAGAAAACAGAACTGCATCCTCTTTCCTATTACAATTTTAGCATCAACTTTATAAAATTTATGTTGTTTACTATCCCATGAAATACCTAACACCTAAACTATAATTAGGCTTAAAAAAAATAGGTTTAAAACAGTCTTATAAATGCCAGAACAACAGTCACTCTTGGAAGGTGTGGAAAAGTACAGGATCTCAACCACATTTCATACTGCACAGAAAAGGACTTTTCTCCCAGAAATCATTTTTTAACATCTTTCTTGGTTGCAAAGTAATATATTTCAAATAAGAGAGCTCATCCATGTATAGCAGCTCATGTGGATCTCACCTTAACCCAGCTAACTCCATCGTTTGCTGCACACGTTTGCAGCAATGTTTGCAGCATCGTTTGTAGTCATGGGAACATCTTCAATCACCAAAGAGGTTTCTTAAACCGCTGATGTTAGGAATGGAAAGTTTGGACATCTAGAAATGCYATCGGAAACTTTCAACTTTGAAGCTGCTGAAGTAGCTACAGCTCATACATACAAAACCCATATAGTTATCTCAGCGTAAGAGTGCTCACTATTTCCTGCACCACATTTGATACACTTAATTCATTTATTGTTACCATTTTCAGCCAATTCATAGTATAGTTCTCAGAAAAAAAATAGTAGCAAATGAGTGGCTCCTACCTTTTATTTACTTAAACTGCTGTACTATTATTCAGCTGAAGCCTATCAGCAGTTACTGGTTCATTCCTCAACACCACCTTGAAAAGCCACTTGTATCCTGCCTTATGACTATTTAAGCCAATGGACTTTATAGTTAATTTACTATTTATGGTGATTTACTATTATGGTGCAGGCACACATCACCAAGTCACAGCATTTTAAATGACAACTATAAGTGGCTGGCATTTTGATAGAGACATTGCTAACTACCCTGACACACAAGAGAGAGAATATGCGTTAAATTCTCCCTTCCAGATAAATTTGGAAAGCTACATGATGTATTGCCACGCAAGGACAAACAAAAACAGTGTGTGGGGGGGGAAGAAAGGCTTGATAGATTGAGAAAACAGATGATAATCAGAATTATTTAAGCCTAAATTGCGCTTTTGCACTACACATTAAGTTATCTTGATTGTGCCACAAATAGTGTCTTCATTGTTTGTTAGGACTGAGTGAAACTGGTATAATTAGGCATACAGAGAGATGCAAAAATTATTCTGCTCCAAGAGGTCTGACCTGACAAGCACRGGAAAAAAGGAAGAGGTAACTTTCTTTTCTGAGTTGACAGAAAAATCCATTATGTGCTACTAACTACATAATGGATTTTTCTGTCAACTCAGAAAAGAAAGTTACCTCTTCCTTTTTAGTTAGTGCTACTAACTACATAAAACCCACCACTGGTCCAGAAAGTCCCTGAGCAACAAATTGCTGCGAGCTGAGAAGGCTTTTGTTGCAAACACACATTAAACCTGCTTTTGGCTTCTTCCTTAGGAATCTAATTTTGACCATTCTCAAAAAAGAGACGGAACAGAGGCTACAGAGACCTCTGGTCTCACCTAGTACAGCTACTTGCTAGCTTCTCCARCTATCGAAAATACAGAATCACAGAATGCTCAAGGTTGGAAGGGACCTCAGAGATCATCTAGTCCAACCCCCCTGCTCAGAATCCAACTACATTGGATTGATACTATACGGATATTGATTCATATCCAACTACATTGATTGATTCATATCCATACATATTCATATACATTGTAGTTGGATATGAACCAATATCCATATAGTATCAATATAAAAATCAATATAGTATCAATATAAAAATCAATCCAACTACATTGTAGTCGGATATGAATCCAGCTACATTTTAACCTTAAGGGAGTCACCGACAATGCTGCTTGGCTTGTTTGACTTTTACAGATTTCTCAGTTTTTTTGGGATCAGTGAGATGTCTGCCAGGTCATTGAACCCTTACAGCATCTACTCATCTCTGGGGCAGAGCGTGATCTTTCCTTGCTTGCATACATTACAAACTTACCCTCAAAGGAAAACTTCAAGTGTCACTGAAGTCAGCTCTTTCTCCAGGAATCATGCATGGCAGCTTTGCATGCTCTGAAACCCAACGCTTGGATTTCAGACTCCTTGTATAAAATTTCTTTCAATTTAATTCCACACAGTTACATTGAAGGGTAGACCCCTATTACATTTCCCTCTAGTAATTCACTGCCTTTTCCTTGTACTATCCAAATGTATGAGTGCGCTGACTTTGAACATGTTATGGTCTTACCTTTGTAAGAGTAAAACTGAATGGAAAARGGTCAAAAGATAAATTCGAAAGAAGATGGAAACTCCTCAACTTGTGCTCCAATATAGTACATGTGCATGAATAGAGACACTCTGTAAGCAAGGCTACAAAGCAATGTCCCCAATCCTCCTTGCCCCTGTACCAAAGCATTTCAGTCTCTGTTGCAAAGGACTATAAACTGCTGTAATCAACTTAAAAAGAGACACKATTGCCCAATTAAGCTCTACGGAAAAACATTTATGAAAAGATCTTCAAAAAGAACAAAAGAGGTGAGTTTAGACAGAGCTTTAAGTAAACCTGAAGCACTTTTCTCCTCTAGCAATCAGAGGTGTGCACTTGTTCGCTGCAGTGACTTTCTAGGCCGTTGCATGAAGAGCCAGAACATCCTCAGCATGAACAACTCACGTGAAGAAACTGCTTCAAAGCATCGCCCCGAAACAGCTCTCACAGATCCCATCAAAGGCAGCTTGACAGCCAATGGTGTTTTCCAAGTGAATAAAAAAAAACAAAACAAAACAAAACACTGTATTAAGCTGCTCTTTTGTATCTTTACAAAAATGTTTGAGGGAATACAGAGGGCACAAAGCTGAAGGAGTCATTTTTTGTTTATGATACCTGTGTTTTACCAAACGTACTATTCACAGTAGGTATATATGTTTTAAATGCACCATCCATCTTGATGCTGTAGAAAGCAGTACACTCAACTGATAAAATATTGCACTTGATCCTGAATTTCTTTTAAAAGTGCCCAAGTTTTTAAGCTACAAACAACATTCCCTTACTGCACTATGCTCATGTTTCTTTAAAGCAAGAGCACCATAACATTTTTACAAGCCTTAAAACCATGCCAATAGAAAGGACAACTTTATATTAACATAAGATTTAACATAGTTGCATTCTTTACAGAAAGATTATTTTACTTCAGAAGAAAACACGATATGCAAAGACTGTGTTGCATATTTACGTTCTTAAGAAGTTTTCACATTTTCAGGCTAGAAAGATGAAGCTAACACAGCCTGATGAAGAGGACAACAGTTTCTGTGGCGAAAAATCATCCCTGGGCTCAGGCCAGTCCTCACACTGCTGCTCTCCTTAAGACGTAAAGGTAAATACTTGTCAGACAGATTCTCTCTCTACTTTCAAGAGATTTTCCAAGAGATTTTCTATAGAGGCTCTAGGAATTTTGTACAGCTTTAGACCAGCAGGATAAAGACTGGCTACAAGACGCATTAAAGAAATATAACTAAAGACTGACTCTTCTGGGTCCAACAGAGAGGCAGTGGCTGTAGAAGTAAACTGAAACCTCGAGCCGGCTTGCTGGGTGTTCTCAAGCTTGGGGTTGAAAGCTCCTTTCTTGCYWGTAAGTGAAAACTTTTGAGAGCAGCAGGGAATTAAATTGCTGAGAAGCCATCGYGTCTTTAAGCGCCCTTTAACCAGGCCAGTACTGCAAATAGGAAAGCAGGAAGTWTTGTTTGCTTTTAATTAGAGCGGACAAAATCTTTTATTCAATTTGTCACTGCACAGGCCTTCAGCCTGAATATTTTTAATTATTTAACATTATCTGAATAGAAACCTATTTCTGTGTCACTGAAAACAGTATTACAAATGCTAAAGACACAGGTGTCAAGGTTTTGGACTCTGCATCAAGTTTAACTACTCAAAGATGACTTTTCTCCCCTCTAAATTAATATTAAATTCCACATAAGGAATGCACCAGCCTAGCTTCTGCACTACTGCCTATCCCAAGTAATATTCCCAATCAAAACCCATGCAAACCTACCTACAGCTGCAACCAGAGGAACACTCATTTTTAAGCAAGAGGCACCCCCTAACTGGCAGAACTGCTAATAGCACCCTCCCCTGAATTTGGAGCTTTTAAGCGTCCTCACTTGTAATTTAGCAAATCAAATACAAATACTGCCCTGGCMGGCTTTATTTCTTTACCTGTAACTGATCTGAAATAAAAGTTAGGAAGTTAGGAAGGAAATATTGTGTATTTTTGAACTTTTTTATCACCTCTGAGTGAATGGCTCAGGATAAGACAACCACAGCCACCAAAAGGGTTTGGAAGAGGGCTTGAAAGAGCAGGAAAAAGCCACCGCGCATCTGGTGGCCATTAGGACACCAGGAGGCAGGGAGAGGCAGCGTTAACCTGGAGCAGAACAGGCAGGTAACAGTGTTGGGGAAAGATGCACAGTGACAGGTAAGAACAACTGCAAAAACCTGAAACAAAACAGCAAGGATTCGCAGGTAACCAAGACAGCCTGGTGAGACTGTCAGTGAGACTGTGCAGTGAGACTGGGMGAAAAAAAGGGAAAAAAAAGAAGAAACAGGCAAAACTTGCAATTTTCTTGTCAGTGGTTTTGGAATAGCCGCCACTGAGAGCAGAAAAGTAGCCTCACTTCTAGGCTGCCTATCCAGTTCAGCAGTTACTTCTATCTGTTCTGTAGATTCTGATGAAAAATTTTGCATAAAAATACACACATACACCCTCTACTACAAAATGTTTCTTTCCCATTTTCCTATACTTACCAGGGGTAGGGCATTATTATAAATGCTGCAAAACTACTTTTCTCATCCACAATTCTGTGCAGCTGGATGTCCATCATACAAGGCTTCATCAACTATGTAGAACTATTTTTTTCTTCTTTCTCTTTTCAATGCCAAACCAAAATCACAATTTATAAATAACTTCCTATAATTAATTACCCCAAAGTCCCTCCTTCCCTGCAGATTCAGATTTTTTTTTTACTTTGAAATATGAAGAAAGAACAAAGTTGGAAAAGAATTTTACAATGCTTAAGAAGGAATTTTTAAGTGCATTTTCTGAGAAATAAGTTTGCACAAGATCAAAACGCACATCAATATTGAAACAATTCTAAATATATTCCAAATCAAGTAGAAAATTTTAGCTTTCTCCTGCAGTATTTTATGACAAAGAACAACTGAGAAACAAAGCATAAGTGTTGTCTATGCAGTAATCCTTAACAGATGGATGAAAACAGCTGAAAAGAAATCAGCCATGAACAGGAAGCTCGGGATTTATTGATATCTTCAGAGTACCAAGGCTCTTAATGGAAAAAGCCTAAAAATCAGTAGTGACAAAGAAGCTACCATCAAATATAACTGAAATCTTAATTCAGAAAGCAGGAAAAACAGTGAGGTTTCAAGAAGAGATGCTCATTTTCTTTTCTCCTTGCCCTTTTTAAAGCAAAGGGGGATCTGAAAAGCCAAAGCTGGTCACACATATCCACCAAAATACTTTATAAAGTAAAAGGATACTCCCTCACTCTATGATTTTTACTTCTGGTTTGTATAAACAGACCTAATATTCTTGTCAGATGAAGAATCTGCATCTGCCAAAAATAATTTCCTTTTAAAAAAAAACATGTAAGCTCATTTGAAAAAGGTTCCTTTTGTACAGGTTCTTTTCTCTCTTTTTGGCACTAATATTAGAAAATATTGGAAACGCGAGCGTACTATTGACAGATGTAGTCTGTCTTTACCATGTTGATCCCATGTTAACGGAAGATCATTTTCTGACAGCTTGGAAGAAGACAAGAAAAACAAGGAAGAAATTGTGGGATCAAGTAACGGAGCCAGTTARGATGGAAAGCCCTGGCAAGAAAGCTAACAAGACAGTTTCTCCAAAAGCCTACTAAAAGGAAAAAGAAGAACAAAAAAAGGCATAAATTTGGTAAAAAYCACTATTTGCTATGAAAAAGTCAGTGACGCAAAGGAACACACCTCAAAAAAAGCAAATGAAAAGGAATTTTTCAATCTTCCTAAGTATGAGAAATAGAGAAGAATATACCCAAATATATTACAATAGCAGTTACTGTATTGCTAGAAGGAAAACCAGGAGTAATTAAAAACGTAGTTACAAAATGAAGTGAAAAGCCATGCATTAACAGCAGTGGGGAAACAAACATGAAGAAAAAGTGTGGACTAAGCCCACCAGTAGTTTTCTTTACAAACTTCTATTAAGACGTTGCAACTAAATTTGTTATTTGCTCCAGGAAAGCAAGGGCAAGCACAAAGACCAGTTTTTGCAGTGATGCCTTCGGGTCATCATCAGGAGTCGAGGAAAACTACAACCTCTTCATCACTCCTGACTGCAGGGATTACATTTTCTAATTCARCTCTCATGAAATGTTAATCAGTTGGAAAGATGTATATGTTTAGTCTTGAAAGTGACCTGCTGAAGAAGCGCCTGCTGAGCGATTCCACCAGCTCTGAGGCACAAGCACARATTTATTTTCTTACAAAAGTTACTCTTCTTTTGTGTTCAAGGTTCAGTCTTGGTATCTCAGAAGACCACACAGTTTAGGATGTCAGAGAACGTTATGGAACCAAGTCTGTCTACAAGCAATAAAACATAATTAATCCTTTTTTCCCCATTGTTTGATAGTGAGTCTTAATGTATAATGTGGTATAATGTCAGCCTGGTGCCATAAGAAAGCTATCCCTTGCACTACCCAAACCCTTACATCTTGATATTCATGGCATCACAATGGAAGATGACTTGGTAATATTCCTGACACCCCTGAATCCCTTCTTTGAAGTTATATCCATCTACAATAAATTTGGGGGTTCAAGATACGCCAGTGTAGATTCCAGCAAAGAATCCCGAGGCGTYGGAGAGGCTCTGGCTGCCAAGGGCACTAGCGCAGCTCTCTGGCACTAGCCAGAGAATAAAAAGCAAAGAGAGGGAAACCAGTTCTGTTAATTAAAAGTTTCTTGTAATTGAAGTCTCYGAGAGCAGGGATGGAGAATCAGTCATGGGATCTGCAGTCTCAGGTAACCCGTTATCCAAATCACTGCTTTTCCTGCAGCACCTACCAAGAAGAACTTGCTTGGTTGTTTTGTGGGGGACACAACCAGCATTTGTTAACATACAGAGACACAGAACTTCATTAGAGCGTGTTACTCTTTATRAAGACACTATGGCCTTTAGAATATCTTTGTATGGTGATAAATGGACATTAAAAAGACTTAGCATCTTCATTATATCAGTTTAACCTAAAGATAGCCCTAGAAATTACTATATTTACTCTTTCCAAGTTCAATGTGTTTAGACAAGTAGTTTGTGGAAATAACATAGATGGAATTTCAAYTAGAGATCAGTTTAAGACTAGATACCAATGTTAGCTGAGGCTGTGGCAAGAACAAGATATAAGCAAACGACAAAGTTTAAGGTTTCCATTCTTTTCCTCTCACTTTTCCAATAGCAGCTTCAGTACAGTTGCAGAAGCCCTTAAAAATGAAGAAATACCTTCAAGCCAGAAAGTTTGCCTGCTCTTCCTCCCTAATTTCATGGTGGAATAAAAGATGCTACAACTGACTACAAGCAGTAATGTCATTCTTTATATCATTTACACAAACCTCTTTTTGGAAGAAATGAACTACTCAGAACAAAGATTCAGGATGGGGTCCTAGTCTGATCTTTTATATGACTAATCAAACTTACTATCACTGAGGTAGCTGGAATGTACTTGAGTAATGTTAAGTAACATTGTAAGATTTACGAACTGCAGACTCATTTTTTTAACGTTTAAGGGCTTCCAAGGAGCTGCTGACACATTAAATGCACCAAGTCCTTCTTGAWCATCTACAGGAAATAAAATGCTAGAAGGTGACGACTACTGTAGGTATCATTTATAGGCTCCCCAAAAGATCAGTTCTGATTGAAGGTAAAAGCAAAAATTATGGGATTTTGTGAACAAGGTGTAAACTGAAAGGGGAACAGGAAGATCCCTCATTCTTAAATAGTGGCATAAGTGATGGGAAATAGACAGAAGAGATTCCGTTGTTCTGAATAAGCATAACAATTATTATGTAATCCACCCTTATTTACAGCTTAATGCTTTGCAATGGCTAAAAGGGGTGAAATGCAAGATCCAAATAAAACATGGACAATTAGGTAGCTATACTAACGTCTTCCAAGCATGAAGCCCATTTCTAAAAAAAAAAACTCGTTTAAATATTTAAAGAACAGCATTTAATCACACAAGAGAGTGAAGTGGAAGATCTGTGGGTTTTTTTTTTTTTTTTTTTTCCTATGACATATCCTTTGACTATTAGAGAAGAGGAAAAAAAACAAACCAAAACAAACCAAAACAAAAAAAGTAACACAAAACACTCTCCTGAGAACAAGAGAGGTTTATCATTTACATCTTCAAAGAGGCATTGGAAAATACACCAGCAGACCAGCACATGACAGGATAGGGAGACGGACTAGATGTAGTCACAAGTACTTTAATATAGACTGATCCTATATAGCTCTTTAAATAAAAATATCAAATACCAGATGTGTAATTTCTATCTCTCGCCTTCTCTAAATGACAGTTGTTTCAAGCAGTGCTGTGTATGTACTTAGGTATTCAAAGCCAGTCTAAAATTCTTATTTTGAATTTAAGCTTGTTAATTTTTTGAGCACTTAATGCTGTGAGAAAGCTATGACTGCCATTACATCCACAACCAAGCATGCAAGCATTCCTTCCTCCCCTGCCCCCCAAAAAGGATACTTTTTATTGAAGAAAGTGCAAATTTCACAAGGCTTACTTCAATCTACTTCCTGCCACACACACAAAAAATGCCRTGTATCCATATACATTCACGTGCACGTATGTGTGTGCACACACACATATATATATATATATATGGGCCTGCCAACACACACAGATACACAGAAGCTTTCTCTTGATTTAATCAAAAACAAGCACCAGAGACTACGCTAATAAAATCAATAATTAATTGTACCACGGCATTTCCTCTCACARCTCTCTTTCCAATTGAAGCTTCTACTCATATCCCTGCAAACAGAAGCGTTCAAGAATCTGGATGCACGTACGTCCACTAATATGTTTTCATTTGTCAGCACCTAATCTAATGAGCATTTCTGCCAAGTCATTTCAAATKATCAGATTTCCTAGAGTATAGGCGGGACACTCACCAAGTCTTCTTTATGCTAATTAATCATCTCCTAGAATGATGTGTACAAYTCAAGCAATAGTTTGTTTTATTAAAACATAAAACTACAAAAACATCTCTCAAATGCCTATAATGAAAATGATAAGTTTCGTTTTCAAATCCTCCATTTCTCTCTTTCAGCCATAGCTGCATTATGTCACAAAAGAGAGCAGGCAAGGGAATCAGGATTGATCAAATTTAGGAGCTACATTTTAAAACAGGCTAGTCACAAAGTTATTATTAACTCAACCAGACGGTCAGCACTACAAAATACATTTACAAGCCTACTGAAGCCTACCATAATCCCTCTATCTTCAAGCCAAAAAGGCAAACTCACTTGCAGCTCAACATCTGCATGTTCAGGAAGCAGTTCACAGCAAAAGGCAGAGCGCAGCCAAGGCTGCATTCGGCTGCAAACTGAAGAGCTTCCTGTCCCAGCAAGAATTATTCTATTTCATTCTATGWCTAGAATCACAGCTACCTTAAGTAACAACATATCATGCAGTCTCCCAGCAAAACATGCGTTGCTAAGTACAACGAAACCAGAGGGCACCTTCATTACAGAACAGGCAGCAATCTACATAGGCAGATGTTGACACTGGAGCCTCACGTGCCTTTAAGCCAGACATAAGCAGAGGGGGCACAGGAGAAATCTTTATGTACCCTTCCAGGTACAAGAAATGGAATACAGGCATCAGCTAAGTTAATATTTCTTTAAGKTTTTTCTCTTTTCCTCCTGGGAGGAGCTCAGCCACATCTTCCAGACCTTACCAGACTGAAAAGCCTGTCCTTTTGAAAGACTTCTCAAGCTTCATTTTTAAGTACCTCCAAGGTAAAATACATATATATATTTTATTTATTTGCATGCATACATTATTTGTAGTCAGCACTCACTTCACCTATTTCCCATTTCAGCCAAGCAAGCTCTTGCTCCTCCAAAATGCAGTGGCATTTACCTCACTGACCTTGGGACTGCCTTCCTCCAGTATTTCTCCCTCATCAGTTTGCATGGGAACAGGATCTGTGCAAAACGCCGCAGAAATGCAAAATATTGCCTAAAAGACAAAAGAAAAACACATATTAAAGGAATGATTTTTTTTCCACATTAAATAGTGCTAAGTAACATTGCAGTGAACTGCAGTGAACATAAATGATTACTGCAGACTATGACCTTGTAATGTTCACATTCCATACACATATGCTGAATGCATATGTTCTGCACAAACAAGGGAAGCTACTGTTATTCAGGATAAGTTAAAGAAAAAAAAAAGCACCATACAGGAATCTCCTTTTAATGTTAAAATAAGTCATCGGCAAGTATTTTATGTAATAATTATGTTTACTCATTAAAGTTACAGTCAGTAAGGAACAATCACATGGAATAGGCAGCACTGAGCAAATCCTTCTGACCAGAGAACGGTTTTTGTGCAACAGAGGCTTCACAAATGCGGCTTACAGGCAACATAGAAGTTGTTAATCTGAAAAGCTACGAGACTTCCAGTGATCCCACAATAACTCTGCATTCTAACCTTAAGGAATTTTTCCTTGGAGTTCATTTAGAAATAAATAGATTGTAGGCTCTAAATGGTTCCTGAAATTGATATAAAGTCAAGTATAAAGTCATTATTTCGTCAGCAGCTCCYAGTGTTTGCAGTATTCAATACCTCAGGTTAACTTATTTTGTAACATTTGATGAAGTCAGTGCAGTGATGAAGCTGAAAAAAAAAAGCCTATGCTCCATACTCCAATCCTTGCAATTTTAAAGAAATTCATGGAAGGCTGCAAGAAGCTTAAGGAGACTATTTGGTTACAAAGCTTACAGTGTCTTCTACTTCAGACGATGAAGTGTCTTTCACGGCTAATAGTTTAAACAAACTTATATGGGAAATCAAGCTACAGATCAAACACACCAGGGGCAAGATGCAACCTATCAAATGATCCAGCCATAGTATTCCAGCTCTGTAGAAAATACTGGTTCACAACTTGCTTAAAATTCACCGAAAGCCAAGAACTGTCAGCCTTTAACAGCTGTCCTTCCCAAGAGGCTGCAACTCCTCACCCTGCCCCAGCACTAAGGGCCATTCAGAGTCTCCCTGCATTTCGTATTCGCAGCTCAGCTGCAGAGCAGCCGGCTCTGCTCGCACCTCCACAGCRGCAATTCCAAACCTGGAAAGCAGCAACTTTGGGAATGCAAACAGCAATGAGGTTAAAAAAGATGTTCTGGAATTGGGAATATTTCTTCTAGATAAATGTCTRCCAGATTAAGATTAAAGCCTCTACATAAAGTAAGGTGTAAAGTGTGTAGGTAGCTAAGACCTTTCGTGGCTATTAAACTGAATCATGGAACTAAGAGTAACTTTTAAAAGCAAAGGCCTGAAGCTACAGAATGCTAAACAGCACTTAGCAAGCTTGCAACCAGCAACTGRCTATGCTCTGTGATGCCATATACTCTCACTCCAGTTCATTCATACACTCGGTTCATTTTTCAGTTCATCACCAAGAGCCTTACAACAGAGTAATTTCTCTTTTGGAGAAAGAGGAATGAGGATAAGGCAGAGAAGCTCTCTCCAAATTCTCACTCTCCTCCATCGTATAGAATATGACAGACTTTAGGAAAACATAACATGACTATTACTGGAGTTTGACTTTTTTTTWAAATATAATTATTTCCCCTATTCCAATACTTAACTTCTAAACTATTAAGCATGGTTAACCAGCAACATTGGTTCTTTCTTACATTAAAAAAAAAAAAAAAACCCAAGAAGTTCAACTTTCTTCTCAAGAATGAATGTCATTTAATATCATACACAAAGATTTTATCAGCACAGACCTCATGGATACAAACACTCAACACCGCACATGAAATTAGATTTTATTAGCACTGTGATGACATAATGACATATTCACCACTTTTTTTTTTTCTCTTTTTTTTTTTTTTTCTTTTTTTAACTTAGGACTCTGTTTTGTCTTTTGCTTGCATGAGAAGATTCAGGATAAAACAAATGTCTGCAGGGGAGTTCAAAAACTGGATATGCACAGGCTGCATATATACCAAGTAGCTAACAAGCCAACTAGCAATTTAGGAAGACATTGCATGTTATCTTTCTGGTGTCTTAATGCACTGATTGGAAGTTAATGCTATGGGGGGGAAGCTTTAATATAACACAGCACTTCCCGAGCTTCTGAGCTTTTGCCTCCTTTCCAAAATCCCATCCTGAAGGGGAGGGAACATGATGCATTTGTACAGGATGAATGGGAGATAAACGTGACTGTCAGCCCAGACCTTGCAGTGTGTATATGTTAACCTCCCTAGGAGACAAGACTGCAGCTTATTACTTTAAATGAGAAGATTAAGTGAACAAGAAGAACAACTCAAGTGAAGTAACACATGAAACTCCTGAAAGAATTTAAGGTTAGGCTTTGTTGGTGGTAAAAGAGCTTTACTCTGATCTAACGAAGCAGTGAATTTTCTGAGCACAAGCTGTGTGGGAGAAATTTCCTTTCCAAAATGAAGCCTGACCAGGACAGAGTGCCAGGAAACAGATAACTGTGGGGCTGAGAGAGAGGTAGACTAAGATTTCCTCCCTGCAGCACAGAACCAATAATCTTAAGCAGCAAATGCTGAACAAGACRGGCACCATTTATATGCATGCCAAGAACTTGTTATGTTTGACAAACACTTCCTCAAGGATAGCAAGAGCTCATGGGCACATGGAGACCAGTCCCTGTCCATGGTACTCAGCCACGTTGGGCTTCCGAGGTTGACTAGGGAGCTCCTGGGGCAGGGAGATTATGGAATTTTCAAAAAGAATTTCATAATATCAGATTCAAGTAATCGGGAAGCTCCATAAATTACTAACTGAATGACTTGAGGCTTTGGTCAGAAGGAGCACTGAACTGCCTAAGTTTTGACAACTGAAAAAAAARTTCTTATCTTTACCTCCTCAGATTTCCCTCCACACCTAAAGAATGGGAAGCAGCAACATTCAGCACTAGATTTAACCTATTGCTCCAGGGATGTGACAATAAAACCACCAACTAGTAAATCTCCAGAAGATTAGACAACAGAAGGAAAGAATTAAAAAGAGTAAAGAGAAGGTCTATGAAAATAAAGACAAGCAAGCCCTCCCACACAGGACTGTTTAAATACACTAGAACTATCCACAGCTCAGAGAACACAGTAAGAAAAAGAGAGGTTTAAAAAGGTCCAGTAATTTACTGCAAAAAAAAAAAAATGACACTGGGGCTGGGGGGGAACAAAATCCACCAAAATCTCTCTCCCAGCTGGTACAGGAAGACCAGAAGCCACAGAATGCTGGAGGAACTGCAAGAGGAAATTTTACTGAACACTATCCTTTTATTGTATTTTTCCCATGTCATTTGTTTCTGGCACCACTAGAAGGCAGGATAGCAGGGGAACTAGGTCTGATTCTATATAGATCGTTTTTACGGTTTCCTGCATATGTGAATCCCATGCAATTTTCCCATGCAAGGAAAGCTTCACATGGCCACTGGCAAAGAGGTGCTGCATTTTAAGTTTGTTTCTTGCCAAAACAGGCATTTGGGGATTCTCAAATGTATGGGAATCCAGTTCTCTGACATATATATTGTAACACTCATCTATAACTGATGGCCATTTTTAAGCCAAGAAAGTGACTGCTTATTGCCAACACATGAGGAATCAACATCATTATTCCACATTGTCAGCACTGTCTCTTAAGCTCATTAGCTTCTGAGGAGATGACTAAAGATCAGGCAGAGGTTAGTATGTCGTACACAGAGAACTGACAAATCATTAAAATCTGTGCTACCGAGTCCTGTAAGATGGCAGAAAGGCCAAGTAAATGGGCCCAGCAGTCTCCAAATTCCAACACCCTTGTGTGATGTGCCAGATCCCCTGGGGATTCAATTATGTAAGCTTATAGGCAGTCCTCTAAGATCTTCAGATCTGTCCCTCTGGCACCTCTGAACAAGGTCACTCTTGGAAAGGACAAAATACTCCAGTTCTCCTACAGTTCTCACATATACCATCCAAAATCACTTATGATGCAACTCGCAGTGTTTCCATTCATTAAAGCACCTCRGGGATACTGTCTTTTCAGTGCTGCATTCAAGGGCACCATGTTTGCCAAGGGACTTCCTGGTACCTCTGTCAATCAGACACAAAGATCTTTGTGAATAACGACAGAGAGTAAAACCAAAGCCAAGCTTAGATATATTTATAAACTCTTGAAAAGCAATACCAGTGAACAAAGTACGTCTTCAGGACTGATTTTCCCTCAGGTAGAAGCATAAGGTTCTCATTAGCAGGAGAGTGCTGGAATCCAACTGTCCTGAAATTTCTTGGCTATCAAATAGGCAGCAACTGGTACTGGGCTCTTATCTTACTATGCACGTCTTTCATACTGCTACATTATTTTTTCCAGATTGCCAGCAGCACTCAAATCTAGACTAAGAAAGAGAACTGTGTTCTCCAATTGATACAGCGGAAAAAAGGGGTTTTAAGCCTCTAGAGAGGCAAGAAAGGCACTAATTAATGTCAAACCAATCRTGTTTCCTATGAATTCTGATGTCTAAATTAGGTTTGGCCCACGGGCAAACTCTTGAAGAGCAATAGGGCTGCGCAAACTGTCGCAGTCCACAGATGGTGAGTAAAGACTGCAGGCAAGTCCCAAACTCTGTCACAAGAGCACTAAGCAAAACATGCACACAAGTGCTCTTCTAAAGATGCCAACCTTGTACACTAGGCACACTTTAAAAAAAAAGGAGTTTAAACAGCAAGGCAAGCTTGTAGTGAATGGCATCTTAAGTGAGACTGCTTATTTAAGTAACATAATCACAGTGGTGCATCCTTGTAATCATTAGTTTTTATCTAGATACGTAGGTTAAAAAAAACATTCATTTGTAAACAGATGGTCTGCCCATATTATATCGGATCACTGGTTTTATGTTACGTGGGATTTGTGATGAAGGTACACCAAAAACACCACAAAAATTTAATGTATAGAAGAAGAACAGAATGTTTTGGTCATTTAAAATAAATGTTGAGAGGTAGTGAGATGAAAACAAGAGTATCCAGAAGAAAAACAAGGTTTGAATGCAACTTCATTACTTGTAGTTAATCACTCACTGGTTCCAATGACTGCAAAATGTCATCATAGATTAATTAATTTTCAAAGAAAACTACACTGTGCATCAGCTTTAGCAGACAAATATAAATCCCATTCAATAATCACAAAAAAAAAAAATCACACTCAAACCACCCAGCAATAATACAGTAGAAAATAATATGGCAGCAATATATTCTATCACTTGGTTAAAAATTAATACAGGTTAATATGTGCTTTTTTATTTTGTTTTCCAACTTTCTCAAGAATATAATACCAAATTTTGTTCACTTTTTTACCTTTGACAGTTTCCAAGGGCTGCCAAAGCCCACAGGGATCCGTCCTGGCTACATTCAGTGCAAAAACGAAACCCTAAAAGACAAATAAACAAAGACTTCAAAACCTCATATCATCAGCCAACAGTGTTTATCACTAAGTTTWAAAAAAATAAAGGCAATTCCATCTAAAGCTCAAATACTTATTATCCCCAAAGCATTTAGAAAAATTATATCGAGATCATGCACGGGAAACTAAAAAATGTAATTGCAAAAGAAGCAGTGAGCACTCCCACCCCAAAATCAGTTTATGTGACATGACAGATACAGGGTTGGGGAAGTAGCAGCTAAGCTTTATAAGCTTTAGGATAGATRCAGTAGAAGCAGTACCTTCCTCCTCACTGTTCTACCTCAAACACCACCCTGGTCTAGGAAGTTACTCTTTGTGGGCAAGAATTACCCATCTTGCATAAAAACATGCTTTTGCTGAGCATAGATTTTTAAACTTTTACAGAATAAGGTTGGAGATGCTAGAAATGCATTTTAGAAAYAACTGCCTCTGAGAAAAAGTTTAAACCATGATTTTGTTTATTGTTTCATATATTTAATACTCACCCATCACCACACAATTTCTACCAACAGTCAGTTTGGAAAAAAAATACTAAGAAATCTTATTCTACRGCCTACCCAAGCCTTTGAAAAGTAAGATTATTCAATTAAGAATAAGATGAAGCTCACCAGCTTGCAAACTAAGTCCTAGATAAAGGCCTAACATTAAAGGGAGTCAGACTAAYGCCCTGTGCTACTGAACAGAAAATTCCCCTTCCCTGGATTCACTGATTATTAAAGCTTCTCTAGACTATTGACACTGAAACCACATGCAGTGGGGGAAGCTCACATTGCCCCACAGGGCACAAACACCTGCAGGTAAAATGGTTTCCCCATTCTACCTAAACCCTAAAGCCCATAGGACCATTTAAGCTAGCCATTATAACTTTCAAACTACTAAAAGTATTATTTTTGGCAGCAATTTATAGTTTTCTCATTATTAATCATCATATCCTTTTCACAGCAGTTTTGAAGTCTTTATTTAGTGTTTACTAATAGTTGTATAGCTTTTAATAGCTCCTAATAGCTTTGAACTGTTTATTTAACAGCTTGAAGTGTGTGTTTATTTTTCAGTGGTACTGAGCTGAGTTTTCTGTCCAGAGATGACCTTCCACTCAAGGCACTATCAACACACAGGTACACTATACTCACAATAGTCTACTTGGCCAATTCAAAGTAGCATTCCAAGGCAAATACATATTAAATTCACTATCACGTTATTATGATGACATCCTAAAGGGCATTGGCAGTCTCAAAGACCATGCCTAGAATGACTTTTATGAGGAAAGGCATTTTAAATATTTGTTACAAATGGAGGTTCTGGAGACATAAGTCTAATAAATTTCAAATACTCCATTGCTTTTGCATAATACATACCCTGAAACGAGTAAGAAATCTTAACACTACTTCTAACATTTCCTGTTGTGAACAAGCACTGCTTTCTTCTTAGCCAAACTAAGTAAAGCAAGTTACATGTACCCAGTTTCAGTAGGTAGTAAGAGATAAGGGAATGCTTCCACTACTGAAGTCTACTGCATATAATATGCAGAGGGATATGATCCCCTTTGTGGTTTTTAACTTTTCAATTTTCTCTATAGATTTCCAAACACTTCACATTGGGAGGGGGGAAAAAAAAAGTGAAAACTGAATTCCTCAACTAAATGCTCTCAGAAAGTAAAACTATCATCCATCTCCCTGAAACATCTCAGAAACACTCAGTAATGTCACTTGAAAATGCCATTATTAATCCATGCAGTCTACTTCACAATGTCTAATGATAGGTAGAGCCAAAGGCTGCTGCGGACTTTGCAGTATCAGCATGTGCATTTGACACCTATCTCCTATCCAGAAACAGCATCAGCCAAAAAGTAAAATTAAAGAACTGTCTGTGTGCCATTTCTGACAGCAGAGGATCTGAAGCTAGAAAGTATGAAATACTACAGAAGCTGGCCCCAAAACAGCTCTTCCCAGAAATGGGCTGTTACAGGCTGGATACCGTATCATTCGTATCAGCAAAAGCATTTAGTGCTCTAGCCAAACCACTGAACGCTCTTGGACCACAAAGGTCTCCAAGGGAATAAAGAGAACTGTTACTAATTAATGCCAATAACCTGTCCTAACTCATCAAATGACTTGTAACTGTGAAAAGAGATCCCTCTTCTTATTGAACAACAACAAGAAAAAAAAACAACCCTTTACTAAGTATCTATTTAACTTCTAATAGATATAAATAACAAAAAATACAGGATCAATCATTCTCTTCCTGTTATTCTGATGAATTCAGACCTTTGATTCTGCAGTATAATAAACGTTAACTGACAAAACTAAAGCAGTTCAAAAGACCAGAATTTAGTGAAACGTGTCTTCAGGCGAAGATAGGATGCCATACACAGCTGAGCAGAACTGCAAAGGTATCAAGACAAGCAGAACCCTAGTGTCAACCACAGCCAGAGCAGAATTGAAACACCAAGCATACATCTCAAACCCCCATAGCAGATAGCCACTTGTGGCAGCAGTCAGTGCTTTAGGAGGCATCAGCCTACTTGCCTGAACTGCACAGTAAGAATTTCAGCAATGAAAGCAGACACTGTTGGATTAAGTAGCTACCAAATGCTCAGTGGAAGCAATAGAGAAGGGAAAACAAAACAGAACAAGAATAAATAGAACAAAGCCAAACAAACCAGCACACAGCTCCTCAACAGGAAAAAACGAGGAGGGGAAATAACAAACCTCCCCAACCTGCTTACAAAATGGACAGCTCTTAATCAAGTACTCTCCCCCACGCCACATAATAGATCGTAGTTAGCTCTAGTTAACTTGCAAGAATAGACACAATTCACTACCTTTGCATACACACCTGGCCTAAGTAAATGAAGTTCTGTCTGGACAGACTAGAATTGCTTGCACACATAATGCAGGACTCCTAAGCTGGCTTATTCCTGAAGTGTGGGCTACGACTGCAACTCTGCTGCATTTGCACTCAACGTTCAATACTTACAGCAAGCGCATCCTTCCCGGTGGCCTCACATAAGCTGCCTCTGTAGGAACACCACAGTATTGCCGGTGCACAGGCCTGAAAGGAACAGRCTGCAGTCAGCAAGATGCATCCAGTTTGGATTGTCACCCTCTCATCTCCCATCCAAATCAGGAGAAACAGGAAATGTATAGTACATATGGCAGGTTTTCCTACTGACAATGAAATACCAATCACCGAGGTTTTGGGAAGCTCTGAAAATCACATTTCTCTTCACAACAAGGAGGAAGAATTATGTCAAGCTGCCTTCTCATGCAAGAATTGAGATCACCAATGCAGGTGTGCTTAAGCAAAGTCCTTGTACAACAGCACAAGAAGTTTGAAATATTAAGTATCATGTATGAGAAGGAATCCTGGCACTTAGGGATCATTGGATACTTAATCATATTGTGAAAGAAAAACAGCACTATTTCATCATTACTGAACTGGCTAACATTTAAGCCCATTTCAAATCATTCAGACTCTACCACCCTGTCTTAACCACACCTCGGATGAGAGAACTTCAATTGTGGCATTGCAAAATATAATCAACTTCTAGGAATGAGAAGAGATCCAAAATGGTTGGTTTGCCACTGTACAGCCAGTTTAATACTGTGGAAGTTGTAAAATCCTAGCTGTACTTTCTTAAGCTTCATAAAAARGTTCCTAGGGAAGGTAAGACCCAACAGGTGGCTTGTTTCTAAGGTCGCTGTTTCACCTAGCTGGCTACYGCTCGTGCTTCATGAGCTGCATTACGTACTGACAAGCTGTTCCTGTCACCAGACTAGCTGCCAAAAACAATTTTATCTGAATTTCTGGTATTAACTAAGGGCTTTCTGGATATGTTTTCCATTCACTCAATGTCTGACAAGCAACTATACATCCAGAGACAAAAACAAGGGTCTTTGTTACCAGTGTGGTTCAACCATCCCATGGCTAAYGGGGGAAATGTTTGACAAATTAAGTTTAAATCTCAGGCCTGACTCATATACTGGAATAATTCCAGCAAGCAACCAAAGCAACCAAGAGTGTGTTCTTTGCTCTAAAATCCTCAGGCTGCCTAAAAACATGTCACAAAAGCCAACGCTGACATAACTACACAYACAGACAAAAATCACCTCCCCAGGTAGGGGTTTATAGCAGTATTTTGTATTTTCTTAACTATGGCACAGTCGGAATGGACTATCAGTCACYAAGAACTACACAGGTCTGGCACTCGCAGCTCTTTTCTGGGCTCTTCACCTGTCAATACTGATTTAAGCCCTGATTCTACTGAACCAGCAGCAGAGGAGGAYGAGGAAAGGTGCAGCCAGTGCCAGTACATGAAGCACTTCATCCTCGCATGGTATCGAGAACCATCTCTTCTCATTAGTTGCATGGAAGGAAACGCARAAAAGGCACTCCGAGGAGAAAAGAACTAAAGACACAACTCTCTAAACAGAGCAGCCAGGAAGAGATGAAAAAGCAGAAATACTCTACTTTCTACGGAAAACTCGGAGAACAGCACTTGGCTATGGCAGCTGAGCACGSCACAAAAATCACCATGACATTCTACTGCAAAACGGCATGGGATAAAAKATCTATGATGTTTAACTCCGTGTTGGCTGCGTGACTTCATGCTCTGTTCAGCGCACTTATTTCTTTGCACCAATGTTTTTGCACTGTAGGGAAAATGGGCCGGCTGTTATTGTGGATATGACACAGCTATTTCCAACAAGGTAAAGGGCTGTAACTGGAATTGATGTCAAGCACACAAGACCACACTGCTCTTCTAAGGGAACGTAGCACGAAAAGGACTACACGCAAGCAATGTCACTCACCCTCAYGTGCAAAACGCAAGCCTCAAATCATGCCACCCACATCCTTTTCCATCAAAAGTCAAAACATAAATTAGCAAAAGCACTCCCATAAAATGAGACACTGCTGAAGACATCAATATTTTTGATGAGTGGATGACTATACACCATGAG